GCATCCAAGTTATTTTGAACTTAGTATAATCCTTCGTCCATAATTGCATCAACGATTATATTTTGTTAGTTAAAGTACAAAATCGCAATTTGGTTGTCGTATTTCGGTTAAGGTCATATTAGATTAATTCGAACTAATTCAATCCTCGTGGGATTGATACTTGGACTTATAGTCCATTTTACTACTTGTTAACGAACCGTACACTTGTGGTGGATGTAAAATTGGAATAAACAATTTCGCGAACAGGTTTTTGGTAGAATGAGAGGAATGAATTTCGGAGTTTGTCAAGATTGTAGAAGTAACGCTCACTTCTTTGGACAATACCAAACAAAACGTGGATGCCCTTCATGTAAAAGCGGATTTTGAAAATGTTTTGAGGTAGAACGGGATACTAGAAAGAAAGGGTACTTGTTCTTTACGTGTAGTAACGACTGTGGTTATTTCGATTGGGTGAAAAATGAAGATATAAGCAGGGAGTTGAGTACCATTAACGAAGAGGTGAAGCATGAGCCCAACGAGGAATACAAAGACTTGCCAAAAGTCTTAGACAGGCTAGCTCGAATTATCGAGAAACGAGATGTTGACATAACATTGCACGTTACATTTCGCAAAGGAAAAGGAATCGTAGAAAGTGATGGGAAGAGAAGGGACCGATGTGAATGGGTGATGTCAATTTGTATTTGCTATATGCTTTATTTGTACTATAAGAACTTATTGGTCATAGTATTCTTCGATATTCAATGCTTAATTTTGTCAACGTCATTCGAACTTTGGACATAAGTTTAATATTTTGCGAATTGTTGTATTGCTTAGTAGGCTTGTTTTAATATTTTTGCACAATTTTGTTCCACAATTAGTAGGCTTCTTCAAGATGTACATTGACAGAATAAATTTGCCTCACTTTGCATTAAACAAACAAACAGGTTTGAATATAAAATACAAAAAAAACAACAACAATGTTGGTGCTTGTTTTGCATTAAAATCAAAAGTCCAAATCAAAATTTATATCTTAAACATTTCCCAGGACCAAGTCACGTGAACAAAACTCGATTTTAGTTCCAACAAGACAAACTTCGACCACGAAAAGTGTTTGAAATCAATTCGCATGTAACAACAGTTTTAGGAGTTTTTACACTAAGATCTTGAAGGCTTGAATCTGATAGTACTTCACACACAAATGCACAATGGTCTGCCCTTGACCCACGATCACTCAAGCTGCATCAGGTTTCGCACGAACCAATTCTTTCATGGCTTCATTCTTGCCTTTTACTCAATGTCTACAAATTGTTACAAATTAGGAAGATCAAATTACACGATCCCTCGAGCTGCATAATTAACTAACTATTATTTGGCCAAACTAATAATAAGTAGCCTATTTCAGTTTTCTTGGGTGCATAAATGAGGGCTGAGAAGCG